AAAAAAAAAAAAAAAAACAAAAAAAAAACATGACCAGTAATCCTCTCAAAACTCAAGGTCATAGAAAACAAGGAAAGCCTGAGAAAACGTTAAAGCCAAGAGGAGCTTAAGCAGACATGAGAACTAAATGTAATGTAATACCCTGTATAAGATCCTGGAAAAACAACAACAAAAAAAAACCTAGGTAAAAAGGTCAGACGCGATGGCTCACGCCTGTAATCCCAACACTTTGGGAAGCAGCAGTGGGCGGATCACCTGAGGCCAGGGGTTCGAGACCAGCCCAACCAATATGGTGAAACCCCATCTCTACTAAAAATATAAAAATTAGCCAGGAGTGTAGGCACGTGCCTCTAGTCCCAGCTACTCGGGAGGTTGAAGCAGAAGAATCGCTTGAACCTGGGAGGCGCGGAGGTTGCAGTGAGCCAAGATGGATGGCAGAGCGAGACTCGGTCTCAAAAAAAAAAAAGGAAAAAAATAATTAAAAGCCATGATCTTGGCAAAAGTTAACATTATGTTATATTGAATCTGCTACCTTCTTTGCTTTTTCTCCAGCAATATGCTGTGGCCTAGAAGCAGAAGATGAGAAAATAGTTGATGGGTATGATTAGAGATAACAGAAGTGACTGCTTAGTATAGAAAATCAAAATGAATAAAGAAAGCAATGAGGATATTATCAAAGTGGTTGGTCACAGAGGTCTAGCTGGGCAGCACCAAAGGCCATAAGGTACTGACAGATTCAATGGAATGGGAAGGTCAGGAACCAGAGAACCTCAAGACGAAAAGCTGACCCTGTGGGTTTAAGATAGTGAAATAGGTGACTGGTAAGGAGGCTAAAGTGATGGGGAGCACCTGAAGAAAAACCAGTGTCCTAGATGAGGTTCATATTGTAGTGATTCTGATGTGCAAATGGTTTGAAAATACAAAGGAAAGTCAACAGTCTCATGCTGAGGAACTATGAGATTAGAGTACTCCAATGGTGCTGGAGACACTGAAAATGATAGCAAGGAAAAGAGGAGAGAAAAAAATATGTTGCAATAGGTGTGGGTCCTTGTGGGCAGTAAATGATGGCACTAAAGTTTTACAGAAACTGCTATAATTGCATGGCAAACCTTTCATGAGAATTAGAGTGACAGTGGTAGATCAATGATCTGGACATAGTTAAAGAAAACAAAAAAGCAGTTTATTCCTTCCTTTCTTCCACATAGTCACGGAAAACAGAAAACAGCTTTTAGTGGCAAGGTAGGGTGAGATGTGACACCTGGATTTTCACTGAGTCAGGGTAAAAAAAATGATTAAGAGTAAAGAGAAGTTGGCCGGGCGTGGTGGCTCACGCCTGTAATCCCAGTACTTTGGGGGTTGAGGTGGGCGGATCACAAGGTCAAGAGCGTGAGACCATCCTGGGCAACAGGGTGAAACCCCGTCTCTACTAAAAATACAAAAATTAGCTGGGTGTGGTGGCGTGTGCCTGTAGTCCCAGCTATTCGGGAGGCTGAGGCAGGAGAATTGCTTGAACCCAGGAGGCGGAGGTTGCAGTGAGCCAAAATCGCGCCATTGCACTCAAGCCTGGGCAGCAAGAGGGAAACTCCGTCTCGAAAAAAAAAAAAAAAGAGTAAAGAAAAGTTTATTGGATAAGTAGCATTTTCAAATCACACATTAAAAGTTGGTAATTAATGAAGGAGCTACTGGGTAGAGAACAGAAGGGAAGAGGTAGTGCCACTTTAAATTGTGAGGTTGGGGATAAGTAGCAGCAACCTGGGTTGTCACCAGGTACCATAAGATAGGTGGGCTGAGGTGTAAGGAACATGGAAAGCAGCAAAGAAGCAAAAATGGCACATTTTAAAACAGACCATGTGTACCAAGGCACAGGCACAGTGTTGCTTCTACAGACTATACATGAGGGCTACGAAAACAAAAACACTTTGCACTTGAACAGCGTTTTATAAATTGCTTTCACATATATTATCTTACTTGATTATCATTGGATAGCTATTACCACTATGCACATTTTTCTAAAGATGAGGCCATTATGAAGTGACAAAACCATGATAAAAGCTGTGATTCTCCGTTTTTAGCACATACACCTCACATACACAGCAGACACTTCAGCATCTCAGCCAGCCAGTCTGGAAATTCTTCCCTTGCCAGAAGGAAGACTGGGTTTTATCCACTTGTCAAAGGAGTTGGGAGAAAAGCCACTAGACACTTTCCAGTTTGCCTTCTCCCACCTTAGACCCCCCTCAATTTCTATCACCATCACGGGAGAAGGTAGAGAAGGGTGGTTCCATCAAGGAGAACACTAAAGCTGAAAGTTATATGAGGATTCTCTTCCCTTCACACCTCTAGACCTCAGTGACCCAACAAATGAAGATAAGGAAGAGGAAAAAACACTATGTAGAAACGAGGAGGTTTTCAGCAAATAAAACTTCGAGAAAAATAATGAAAACGGAGCTGGGGTAGGGCAGAAAGCAAGTATAGCTGAGATGGGGGAGGGGAAAAGGAGGAGGGCAGGAATTGGAGGGAGCTGAGAGTCTAGGAGCCCCCAAGGCTGAAGAACCTAAAAGAGATATGAGTCCTCCAAGTGCTGGAGAAAAGCTAAGGGCCCGTGAGCGTCCTGAAACAGGGACTAGCACTGAAGGACCCCAGGGTTTGGGTGACCGGAAGCAGAGACCCCCAAACACGAGACCAGAAGGGGGCGCAGGAGACACCCCGTAGGAGAGAATGAATGGGGAAGGCGGTCCAGGGGGCGGGGCAAAGGAGGGGCCCCGGGATGGGCGGGGCACAGACCCCTTTCCAAGTCCGAACCCCTGCCCCGAGAGCCCGGAGAGAAGCGGCTCCGCGCCTCCCGCACTCACCGCCGGTCTCGTCAGTAACATAGGGAGTCGCCATCTTGAAAACGCAAACCACTTCCGGCGTGAGCGGGCTGGGGTCCCGCCCCCCGCCCCACCGGAAGTGGAGTCCCGATCGTAGCAAGCCACCATCTTAGCCTTAAAGGGAGAGTGCACCATTTCATGGGCGGAGGTGGAGGAGGAGGAAGAGGGGAGAAGCTGAAATAGTTAATAAAATAAAGACTTGGGCTCTTTTACTGCCACCGATACCATTATTGAGCACTTGCTGCGTATAAAACAGTCCTCGGGGAGCCAAGAAAAGTTCCGAGGCACAGTTCCTCTCATCCCAGGAACTCCTCGTACGTCCAGGACCTGTGAGGGAAAAGGGCGCAAGGCCCACCTGCCCTCAGAAAGAGGGGCTTGTAAATGAAGAAAGGAAGAATATCCAGGCTATTCTTCCTGCACCCAGATCTCAGAGCGGCTTGACGTGGGGCAGGCAAACTCCAAGAACGCACTGGGGCGCACAGATGTTTCTGGGGACGGTTGGAAGACCCCATCTAACCCTCTCTAAGGTGGGGAGGTCGAATTCGCGTGCCGATTGCTATCGGCCGCCCCACTCAACCTCCAGAGACCCGCGGGAGGGGCGTGCAAGGCGGAGGGCGCCGCGGGTCGGTCACCTGTCTCCGTAGCCACTGGGTTGCCGGCAGCTTCCATGGCCGAAGAGGCAGCAGGCCAGGTTGGGCGGGCGGCCCTGGCCTGGCTCTGCCCCGCTGGGCGGCGCCGAGGATTCAGCGGCTAAGTGACCGTAGGGGGCCGTAGTTGCTTTTCTCCTCGACCTCCTAACCCTGTGCCTCCTTGGGCTGGGCCCTAGGGTCGGAGGGCAGGGTGAAGGCTTCTGGGCGGACCTACTTAGTATTCTAATTAACGTCGTCCTACCGCTGGGGAGCTAAAGCGGGGCAACTCGCCAATAACCCGGTTCCGTAGAGTCACTCCATTTGTGATCCTGCCCTGCCCCTTACCTCCCTATTCTTCCGACGAACCCAAATGCTCTCCATGCGCCGCCCATTTCATCAACTGTTGTTCCTTCAGGGCTAAGTCCTGTTAAACTTGTTTCCCCCTACAGCCTGGGAGGGGCCGGCTACAGGTTCCTCTCCTCAGGTGTCACCTGTGCCCTCCTCCACCCACATATAGCTTTTTCCTTATCAACTCTTTACCTTTCTCCATATATCCGCACTTTGGCTTAGGTTAATGTCCAGTAGTACTCCTGGAATGAGAGAGGAGGTAAATATTGGTGACTACCTCCAACACTAGGCAGCATGTCCCATTTGAAAAACAAAACTAAAAAACAGCAATGGCTGACTAGAACCTTTATAAGACAAATTAGGCCTCAGGAGTTTTCTAGGGGCTGCAGCTTGCCTTCCTTCCTATCCTCCATCTCCGTGACTTCCACTAGAAGCCAACTCAGAATGTCTGGAGGTGTGTGGCCGGTGCTCATTTAAAAAGTATTTGCAGGCCGGGAGCAGTGGCTCACACCTGTAATCTCAGCACTTTGGGAGGCCGAGGCAGGCGGATCACTTGAGGTCAGGAGTTCAAGACCAGCCTGGACAACGTGGTGAAACTCGTCTCTACTAAAATACAAAAATTAGCTGGGTGTGGTGGCTCGTGCCTGTAATCCCAGCTACTCGGGAGGCTGAGACAGGAGAATCGCTTGAACCACGGAGGCGGAGGTTGCAGTGAGTTGAGATGGTGCCACTGCACTCCAGCCTAGGTGATGTTCTAGAACAAGACTTGGTCTCAAAAAAATAAAAATAAAAAATATTTGCATAGATAAACAGTTATTGCAAGTTTTCTGACATTGCTGTCTTTAACCCTTGCTCTTCTTTCACCAGTTGTGCTTCAGCACTGCAGGGTCTAACATCTTCCTTAACCTTGTTGCTAACAATTAGAAGTGAAACTGTGGGATGAAGCCTCTAAGAACTAATGGGATACCTTGGCCTTGACTGAACTACCTCAGGCGTGGTCTCTACAGCTTCCAGAGGCTGCTCAATAGACCTTTGTGCAGGAGGGAAACCTAAAGTGAGCCCTTTTCACTACCAACCCTAGGCCCCCTTTGCACCCCCAGACATCCTGCCTCAGCTCTGGGGTTGACAGGAAGTGAAACTCAATTGTCTGCTTAGTAGACCTGCCTGGGACCCAACCCTAGGCCCCGGATGTGGCCCCCCACCCTGAGCAGGAACGGGGAAGAAAAGGCCGGGGAGACAGGCTGTTGTTTTTTCCTTTCCCTTTGTTCATTGTGGTTTCTTTCTTTCTGATTTTTGTGATGTGGTTGATTAAAGAAATGAGCACCTGAAACCGTAGGCATTAAACGCCTCCTCCTTAGATGTTTCTCGGCTTTTCTTTCCCCACCCACACCCCCTAGTAACTGACTTGGGGTATGATGGAGCACAGATCCTAAAGAAGACACAAAGAAGCCTAGAGTAAGACTGATTCCAACTTATTCCTTACTAGAGAGATAACATTACATCCCACTTTGAAGTACCAAAAACTGTCTTAAAAGGAGTGTCTTCAACTTTATTTAGGGATATATCTAAAGACGATAGAGTGAGGATCACAGGCAATACGTAGGGTGGCATCACTTTGAGCATTCTTTGCAAGGAAAGCTGAGTGCCTTAAAGATTACTATCCTTCCAAAAGTTCTTTTTTTTTTTCCCAAGAGTTCTAAATAAGAGATCCAGGGACAGAAAACTGATTGGCAGTGGCGTCGGGGGGCCTATTCTTACTTTTATTGTATGTTTGTTTAAAGTAGCTCAGAGCAGAGAGGTTTACACACACTGTACCTCTCTTTGGTATAGTCCTTAAACTGAGCTGTCTTTGCTTGTATTGCAGAACTAAGTGCAGGACTTGGTGTAAAGAAGGCCTTCAGAAGAGTTTGTTTACTATGACTAAGGAAGTCATGGAGGAAAGAGAGATGAAGTTCTGCTAACAGTGAAGAAAATACTGTACTGCTGCCGGACACGGTGGCTCACGCCTGTAATCCCAGCACTTTGGGAGGCCGAGGCGGGTGGATCACAAGGTCAAGAGATCGAGACCATCCTGGTCAACATGGTGAAACCCCGTCTCTACTAAAAATACAAAACATTAGCTGGGTATGGTGGCGCGTGCCTGTAATTCCAGCTACTCAGGAGGTTGAGGCAGGAGAATTGCCTGAACCCAGGAGGTGGAGGTTGCGGTGAGCCGAGATCGCGCCATTGCACTCCAGCCTGGGTAACAAGAGTGAAACTCCGTCTCAAAAAAAAAAAAAAAAAAAGAAAAAAAAAAAAAAAAACTCCGTAAAAAAAAAAAAAAAAAAAAAGAGAAAGAAAAAGAAAATACTGTACTGTAAAGCCAAAGATGGGAAGTGTCAAGGCCCTTATCTTTTCACGATTAGGGGTGAGAGGGCGAGACCCAGAGGGGCACAGGAGCAGAGAGACAGACCCGCTTCAACCTATGCCTGAAATCTCCAGTTTAAATAGAACAACAATACTCTCAAACCCTATTACTCAGCAGCTATATTTCTGGCAAAGGTGGAGGAGTCTGTTCCAACAAGTCTGTCTTGAAACAATCAAGAACTGCTTAGATTCCCCTATTTCCACTAGAGGGCCTCATGTATTCATTCCCTTTTCTCTCCAACGCCCACCAAAAATATGTATATATTATGTGTGTGTATGTATGTATACATAATTCCCACATATGCATATACCCTTCTAGTCAGAGGTCTCTCCTCACCCTCCTTCCCACCCCAGGTGTAAGAAGGACTATATTCCAGGAACCTAAGGCTTTGTTACTCTCCCCTATTTCAATGAAGGGTAGGAGGGAGTTAGATAGGGTTTGGGGGCGGGGCCAGTGAGCAGGATGCCTGGGTCTCCAGTTCCTGCTAGTAAGTCCCTAGGCCTCCATCTCTCTCCCTTGCTGTACCACATTCACCACCATCCATGCGATCCCGAGAGCCTTGATGACTCTAGAAGAGATTCCAGGCAGGAGAAGCTGAAAGGACCTTTCATTCCCTACTTTTGGCCAGGGTCTTCTGTACCACCTGCCAAGGTCAGCAGGTAAAGTGGGAGGATGAGGGCATGGAGAAGGGGTGGACACAGACCAGAGCGCAAAATTCCACCCTAGAATTAAGGAGAGGACATGAGTCTTGACAGGAGGTGTCCATAGACTGGGGCAAATAGTTCTAAAAGGGAGGAGAGGAATATGGAGGAGAAGGTGGGTAGATTGTCTCAAGCAGAGTGGAGCCCTCGGTGGGAGGGAGGTGTTTGGTCAGGTTGTGGAGTCTGGGACTCTGGCCTTGCCCCCGTGGGATATCCTGAGTGTGAAGTCAGTAGTGGATGGAAGGGAGTTGGGCAGGGAAGTTCAGGATGGCAGCAATCAGGTGAGAGTGAGAAGTTGGTTGGGTGCCCAACTGCCGAGCTGTTCTGTTAGCGGGCCCGCCCGGTATCTTGGCCTCCCAGGTTTGGGATGAGGGGAGAGGCTGTGAGTGAGTAGAAAGAAGGAAAAATAGACGCAGAGCTGCCCCTGGTGTGGGAAGATGAGGAGCAGCTAATGGAGAAAATGTGTCCAAAGCCCCGGACATATTCGAGGGAGGGTGGAGCAGGTAATGGTGAAATGGAAACCTAGAAAAGGGCTTCTCCAACTTCGAAGTTCTCAGAGTTGGGGGCGCCGGGCGCGGGAGCGGCAGACAGGCTGGGGTGGGGGGCGGGCAGCTGTGTCGTCAGGAGTGGGGCGGCCCCGCTGCGGCCGCGTCTGCCTGGCCCGTCCCCTCCAGCCCAGCTCGGGCTCCAGCTCTGGCGCCGGCGCTTCAGCTGCCACCGCGAGCCCTCCCAAACAAGGTAGAGACCCCGCGAGCCCCCCAGCGCCCCGCTCTCTCCCCGATTGGAACAGGACAGGGGTGGGGAGCCGAGGACCCACGCGCTGCGTTCGTGCTGCTGGGTCGGGAAGGAGGAAGCATGACAGCTGGAGCGGGAAGCGAGAAGGGTCTGCGCTGGAACGCAGTGGGGGGGTCGCGGGAGGGCTGGGCCAGAACCCGGTGGATAACGTTTCCCAGACCTTCTCCTCCATCCCTTCTGCTCACTCGGAGGGATGATGAAGCCCGGTTCCTGGGGACCCCACTCGGAGGGAAGTCCTTTTCAAAACCTCCACAGCGCCGCATGGGTGGAGAAGGGTTCTTGTTTGGCCTCCGGGTCCCCAACTTCCCACCCCCATCCTCTCCAGACCTGTCACTGGGAACTTTCTGAAAATACCTGAGTCTGAATCTCACTTTTCACCTTTAGTTAGGAGAAATGAGCCTTCCTGACGAAGAAATGCAAATATTATTGGGCATCTCTTCAGCCTCAGCACAGACAAGCCCACATCCCCCAACCATGCCAGTATCGTAACTTCCTCCTGTACTACGCAATGACACCCTCTACACACACGCGCGCGCGCGCGCGCGTTACACACACACACACACACACACACACGCCCCTCAGCCAGGGAACACTGCAGTCTTCAGTGTTTGTGGAGGCTTACTGAGTTTTGAGGCTTCAAGTAAATGATTCCCTCTTGGGGGCTACCTACTAGCAGCAGGCGTCGGGGAGAGGAGTAGAATACAGTCTGTGATGTGACTCAGGGATTCAGAAGTCCAGGTAATCAGCCCTGGGCCCTCAAATTTGGAGCTCCTGCCCCTCAGGGTTTCTTGTTGGGGCAGCCTCAGTATTCTAGGGACATAGCTATTTCCTGAGTAATGGTCGACTTACATGACTTGGAATGTGAGCAATGAATGCGTAAGGAAACTTTAAATACTAACACAGACTTGGAAATATTTGTCTCTTGGTTAAAATTTTAGTATTTGATGTTTAAAATTAGATCCAGAGAGCCAGAAGCTCTAAGATTTTGTGGAATGGACTAAGGTTGGGTGTCTAGGGTCTGATCGTGCCCCTAAGAGAGTAATTCTCTCACTATGCCTCAGTTTCTTCCTCTGTAAAATACAAGGGTTGGTGACTCCTGGCTCTGTGGATGTTCTAAGATTCTCTGCCTGCAAGTCAGCTTCTTCCTTTCTCACCCCAAGTGGGTAGGGGAGGGCAGGGAAACCAGAGGAGGGAAGGGAAGGGTGAGTCATAAATAGCTGGCAGGCTGGCAGCAGACCCCACCCTCCCAGCCCTGGCATTCGCCTAGACTAGCCCAGGTTATAGCCTCCGGGTTGGGATGGACCTGGAGGAAAAAACTGGACTTGTTCCAGGTCTTTGAGGCCCTAGGATCTTGCAGTTTGCTGCCTTTCAGCTCCAGGAATAGCTAAACTTTCAGTCAGAGAAGTCAGGAGAACCACTGAAAAGATCCCAGGAGCACTCATGTCCAAAATTCCAACCCAGGGATGTCCTTGAACCCTGAGAGTCTAGTTCTAGCCACCACATCATCCTCCCAGAAGCAAAGTTCAGGATCCTGATACTACATGTTTGCACCCGACAGATATATTAATAACAAGGGGTAACATGTACAACTGGGCTTCACTGATGCTGGAAGTCCCTGAAATTTATGCCTTCCTGGCTCAAAGACATCATTTTTCCTAATCTCCAGAAATGTTTCCCTAGGTACTACCCTTGTGTAATAATGACAATAGCTGATATTGAGTTCTTACTCTATGCCATGATGCTTGCTAAGTACATTGCATGTATTATCTTATTTAATGCCCATATTGCAGTTGATTTCTGTAGGTGCCGACTTTACTGATGAGAAAACTGTGGTTCAGGGAGATGCAATGACCTCTCAAAGAGCTAGGATTGTGATCCTTGCCTGTCCAATTTGCAAGTCCATTCTCTTAACTTCTACTATATACTACTTCTCCAGGCTTGAGAACTAGGGAGCTAGGGAGGGGCTAGAAAGAGTTGGATCATAGTAAAAAGAGAGGCAGAGAAGAAGCCTGTCCTCTCTCCTTTGCATTGTAACTTGTTCACTCCCTCCCTGTCACTTTCTCCCTCAGATTCCATTTCCTAGGACTTTGGAGTCATCTTAGCATCCCCAGGGGAAATCAGAGAGGCTAATTAAGCAAAAGAGGCCCCATTAACCATAAGACTATTAGTCTTCATTAGATCTGTTGGCAGCAGAAGTTGGGCTATCGTCATTGAAAAGTGTCGGATGGGTACAGTTCTTTCTCTAGGATGTCAGTATCCCAGAACCCTCTTCTAAGTGTTCCTGGAAAGCTCCTGGAACAGGAATAATGTGCTGCATAAAAGTGGACAGCAGAGATGTCCCAAGGGCAGAGGCTGCAGAGAAGGTTCTTGCACCATCAGAAAGGAAAGGGGTTGGCCTATTCTTGAACACTCAAACTGATTCCCTAACCCAGCAAACCCTAAATGAGTGGGTGGAGATCGGAGTATTTGATGGGGTACTCAAGAAGTGCTTTTCAGCATCATTCATTCATTTAACAAATATTTATTTAGCACCTACTCTATGTACTACAAATTATCTCCTTACTGTCAGGTGGATACTCTGGCATCCCATTCCCATGTAACCATATTTGGATTAATAGCCCCAAAGTATGAATCCTCAGCTTTATGAAATCATTCGTACAACCAATATTGAGCACCCACTACATACTGGGAAGGGTGTCCCAGACAGACAGAACAATAAGTCTCATAGCCCTGAGCAGGGAAGAGCTTGGCATGCCTGAGGAACAGAAAGGAGAGCAGTAAGACCAGATGTGTGAGGAGAGAGTGGAACAAGAGGAGAGCAGAGTGACAGGCAGAGGCACTACCACATGGCCTTGGGCTGGAGCCTTGGATTTTCCATCTATCAACTACCTTAGGAAATCCAAGCTTCTCTGAGCTCGGATTGGTTATGCCAATAATTTCCTATGTCTCAGGATTTGATTCAAATTAGGATGTTCTTCTAATTGTTAATACAATAATAGCTACCATTTCTTGTAGGCCTCCTAAATGTCAGGCATTATACGAGCCACTTTTCATATATTATTTTTTACTTTTAACTTTGAGCACAAATTTTTCTGATCATATATTATTTTATTTAAGCCACACAACTGTGAAAGATGGGTTCTCAGGCCGGGCGTGGTGGCTCACTCCTGTAATCCCAGCACTTTGGGAGTCCAAGGTGGACAGATCACGAGGTCAGGAGCTCGAGACCAGCCTGGCCAACATAGTGAAACCACATGTCAACTTAAAAAAAAAAAAAAAAAAAAAAAAAAAAAAAAAATGGATTCTCATTCTCCCCATTTTACAGATATAACTTCCCGAAGTCACACAGTGGTGTCAGAGCTGAGAATGAAACCCAGATATGACAGATCCTAGCTCTGTTCCAAAGCCGTGCTATATTGTGTTAACGTAAAATATATTATTACTGTTCTTGAATCATCAAGCGAAGTCGCCCACTGCACCTTGATCCTTGGGCAGGATCCACGAGATGGCTCCTCCTTGGTACCTGAGTCCAGTAGCCAAAACTTGGGGCTCCCTAAGCACTGCTGACCTGTAGGGGTGGAAGAAAGTTCCCAGTAGCCGAGACTCCAGCGCTCGGCTCCACCGTCCTGGACTGGGAAACCACACGGATACCCAGAGCCTCTTCCCCTGCCATCTCCCTATCCCGCGCGCCCGGGTCCCCGCCCTTCCCCAGTGGAGCTCCGCGGAACGCAGGCCAGGCGGGGCTGGGGCTAGGGACCTTGCCAGAGCTGGTTCTGTGTCGCGCGTCAGAAGCGCTAGAGGTCGTTGCGGGGCGTGGGTGGCTCGGGGAGTGGGTGGCTGAGCCGAGCTGGGGTCCGGCGCCAGAGGCGGAACAAGATGGGGTTATGCTCAGGAAGACGCGCTAACGCAGTAAGAGTCACCCAGAGGGCCGCGACTGCCGAGGACCCGAGATGGGAGAGAGCACAGGCTGGGGAGAGTCTGCAGAGGCTGACGACGGCGGGAGAAAGTGCAGAAACAGACAAGGGACACACCCACAGAAACATACAGACTGAGAAAGCCGGGTGCGGGTGGGAAGGTGGGTGGTAGGATGAATCAAGATAGGTTGGGGGAAAAGGATTCAGAAGTGGAGAAACAGGCAGAGGACAGACACTGTCAGGGAGGGTAGAGGCATAGGGAAGAGGGGCACTGGGAAAGGAAGATATTTAGGGAGGGACTCGGAGAGAAGGAAAGAACAAAAATAACAGTGCGAGTAGAAACAGAATGGAGCAGACAGAAGAAAAGACACCCAGACAGCTGGCTTTTCCCACTGTACATTCTGTCACCTTTCCCCAGGCCTACCCTCTGAAAAGGTCCAAGCATCGGAAGTACTACTACCAAGCTGCCTTTCTGGCCATCCTTGAGAAAAACAGACAGATGGCCAAGGAGAGGGGCCTAATAAGCCCCAGTGATTTTGCCCAGCTGCAAAAATACATGGAATGTGAGTCTTCCTCTCAGGCCTTCAGTTCTGGGAACCTTGCCCCAGAGAATCAATCCCTCCTCCCCCTCATTACACCCCTTACCCTCCTGCTTCCTTGGTGGCTTTGAGCAGTGTGCTGCTCAGATGTGCCCATGACTGGGAACGGGAGGAGAGGGAGATAGGGAGATGCCAAAGGCCTTGGCTCTCTACCCACCCTCGCTATACCTGGACTGCTTGCTCCAGCTCTCAGAGAAGAGGAGTAAAGAGTGGTACTGTTTTGGAGGATCTGAAATATTTTTCCCTCTGTATTTCTGTGTTCCTTCCTGGAATTTCTACATATCATTTGAATCTTTTTTCCTGCTGGATTTCTCTGGCAGGAGAACTCAGCTAGACTAACAATGCTGTTCTCTTACTCTCTCCACATCCTAGACTCCACCAAAAAGGTCAGTGATGTCCTAAAGCTCTTTGAGGATGGCGAGATGGCTAAATATGTCCAAGGAGATGTGAGTAGCAGCTGGGAGATCCTCTCCCCGACCAACTCTTCCCATCTTTGTTTTTGATCCCCAACTTCCAGGAGTGATTCCGGGCCTGTCCCTCACTGTCCGCTCTAGAGATATCCAAGCATCCATTGTCACTGTGACTATTGCTTTAGGACAAAATGAAAGATTCTCTTTTTTTTTTTTTTTT